TATGAATATCAGTCAAACTCGTCAACCAGAAGAGTCAAACTGGTCAAACTCGTCAATCAAAAGAGTCAAACCAATCTAACTCCCCCTAACTCGGTTTGCCCAAATAAAGTCTAAAGTGTAACACCATACCTTGCTCGTTCTGTGGAAGGTCTACATTCTCATCCGAAAAACGAGATCTAAACTCGAACTCGTTGTCTTGTATCTCAGACCAATCGACTCCTTCCACATTGATTCCTGCCCTCTCCAGAATTCTTTTCACTTTTTCAATTACTTTCTTCTCAACTCTTGCAATTATTCTTTTTTCGGAATCTTTTACAATCTTCTTCAACATCTTTTTGAAGGATATTTTTTCTCCTTCTTCGTCTTCTCCTTCCTCTTCCTCTATTCTTTCTTCTCCTTCTTCTTCTCCTTCTCCTTCTCCTTCTTCTTCTTCTCCTTCTTCTTCTCTTTGTTTCTTTCTTTTCTCTTTCTTCTTTCTCTCCGCCCTACCATCGACATCGATCTCACGAATGTTCTCATAACAAATACTTGACGGGTTCATCCTCAATTGTTGCATCCAACTTTGCACCAACGGATGACTACTTTCATCCTCATGTATGTTAAAAAACATATGTTCCTCTTCCTCATCTAATTGAAGAACACTTCGAATACCCTGAGAACATTTTAACAGATTTGGTATCAGTGATCCGGATTATGGTCAAACTCGTCAAACTCGTCAAACTCGTCAAACTCGTCAAACTCGTCAAACTCGTCAAATGTCATCTATTATAACTAATGTAATCGATCTATACATACCTGTGAATCCACACCGATCTGTCTAATCACATTTGCAAGTGTGACATAAAGGCCCGGTTGGATTTGCTTCTTACACATCCTAGGACATGTGGGATCGGCATCCTTCACATCTATATACCATCCATTGGCGCCTAAACTATTCACGCATTCAAAAGGAAGCAACTGCAATATACATACAAACTAATCAATCAAATACTCAATCACAATAAATAAAAAACAATGATAAAAAAGTAACTCACCATAAGAGGTATTACGAATCCAGGGAAGTGCCACTGAGCCCTCGGTGTAGGACTGCTTACATACACTTCAGTATATGATCGATTGTTCTTTCGAAAGTGTATCTCCCCCAAGGAAACCCTTCTCAAAATTCCAGATTGTTGACCATGTCAACTGCATCATTTGGAATCACATCATTGTTCTTGATTCCATGGTCTAATACTCCACCTAGCAATATGATTATTGCTAATCTTCTCCTGTCATCCACATCTTTGGTTGGAGTGGCATACAGCTTCTTTATCGCTTCGGATATTGTCACCTTTGAATGTCCAAACATTTTCATCTGAAACTGGGTTCCCTTACATTTAGCCCAGTCTTGTGGATACTTTTCACAATTTAGGCCGCAGATAATCGCATGCTCGGTGATCGAATATCTGATGGGCACGCCATTCAGAACAAACCATAGTTGTTTCACTTCTCCTTCCAATTTTAGTGCCCGATGTAAGAGGACTGATGCCAGAACCATCTTCAATGTGTCCTTACATCCAAGATGGAAAATATGCTGAAACTGGGATTCTTTTTGGAAATATGTAAATTCTTCATCCGTCAAGGCCTTTTTAAGAGATCTAACAGTCTGATATAGATAACATTTCGTCGTGATCTTAGGAGCCATATGAATGTCCTTAAAATCATACACAAAAGGTATCTGCAAAAACAAATTTAACACTCATTATCAAACTCGTCAAACACGTCAAACTCGTCAAACTCGTCAAACTCCGACTTGTTTGACGAGTTTGAACATTTTTGAGACTCGAATAGTTTGACTTGTTTGACAGGTGCGCTAAGTTTAACTAATATCTAGCATGACCATTAATCTATGTTTTAGTGCATCCGATTGACGACAATATCATCGTGACTCGATTTCTTAGGGGTGGGCGTTTCGGGTTTCGGTTCGGTATTCAAACGGTTCGGTTCGGGAACGGTATTTTCGGTTTTATAAAAAGTGTACCAAACTAGAACCGAATGTTAAACGGTTCGGTTCGGTTCGGTTTTAATATCGGTTCGGTTCGGAACGGTACCATTATATGAATACCAAATAAGTACCGAACTATAATATTTACACATATATTAGTAGAATATTCGAATTTTGGTTCGGTATTTATACGGTTCGGTTCGGTATTCATACGGTTCGGTTCGGGAACGGTTCATTCGGTTCCATAAAAAGTGTACCAAATTAGAACCAAACGTTATTCGGTTCGGTTCGGTATGGTTCGGTTTTGGGACAGATCGGGTCGGTACTAAATTCCCGAACCGAAGTGTCCACCCCTACGATTTCTATCCGTTTTTTTCACAAAACACTGTTTCTCACCCAATCCAAAAACCCTATTTCGATATTTCAGTGACAATTTGTCATTCAAACCATAGTTTTTCAAATTTTTATTTCAAACCCTATTCTTAACGAAAACTTAATAGAAAATCTAAAACCGAATCTCAATGTATACCCGAAACCCTAAAAAATTTGATTTTTGCGGAGTTAAAAAACTATACCTGGAGGTCTTCGCAAGTAGGGGCCGAAGAGGGGGCCGAAGATGATGAAGACGAAGCCATTCTTCGTGAAAATTTGACGAGTTTGACGAACTCGCACAGAAAGATCGCACAGAAAAATCAGAGTGAAGAGAAAATGAAGAAGAAGAAACGACACTATATATGAAGAAATGAAAGTGTCTGTCGAAAAGGGGCCAAAAAAAAACTGTTTGGTTTTTCAAATTTTTTTAATTTAGTAACTTCCCAACATTTGGTCTTTCTCCTTCAGATGTTGATACGTGTATTTTTTAAAAGGGGTAACGATGTCTTTTCATTCTTTTACAGTTTTTGTTTGAAGGTTTTTTTTTTTGAAAGGTATGTCATGTAAGTGAAATCGACATTTAAAGGTATTTTTGTAATATTCCCAAACCAAGCTGACCCGATCCAATCCAATCCATCTCGTTCTGATCTGAAAATATTTTAGCCCAATCTTGTCCGCCTATTTTTTAACGAGGTAAAAATAGATCAGTTCAACCCAAACCATTTTAGTCCACGAGTTAAATATTTAAAAAATATTTTAATTATTTTAAAAAAATAAGTAAATTATAATTAAAATTTTAAAATTTTAAAATTTTAAACAAAACAAACTAAATATCTAATAAAAATACAATTTTTGTAGAAAAATATTTAAAATATATATAATTATTAAACAATTTTTTTAAAAAAAAATCTAGCCCGCTCGCCAGCTCGTGAGCTTGCCGAGCTGACTCGCCACAAAACCGACTCGTGACGAACTAACTCGACCTTTTTTTTTTTACCACGAACCACATTCGATTTACATCCATAGCTGAAATTGTCTGAACTCTTTGATGAGATTATCTTTCTGTCCCGTAGAAAGAAAGGGTGAATGTTTTTTTTATTTAACAAAATTTAATATGACTTCTTTAACAGAAAAAGGTAATAATTTTACTTAAACAAATTTGAAGAGGTAAAATTTAGAACAAGGTATCGACTTGGAAATCTTGACGTGTCATCAACCTATTTATTTATTTACTTATGTTCCTATCCCAACAACCACCTTAATATCCATTTCCCAGCCCATTAAGGGTTCCTCAGGAGAATTGCGAAAAAACAAATATTATAAACAATTGAAATTTTGAAAAACAGTGTACAAGTTATTCAGCAATATATTATCGTTAATTAAGCGTATACAAAACCCAGGGGACGTGTAAGGACAAATTGGACGGTCCCATTTAAATCAAACGAACGATGGCCCGGCCCCATTGTTGCATAATCGTATCTATATATTTATGATAAATTTTTACCCTTTCAATGGAGACCTTCATGCTCTATATTCAATGTAAAATGAATATTGATCAACTGCACGACCATATGTATCTAAGATGAATTGAAACTCTCAATTTTAAATATACTTATAATTATTTTAAAATGGAATTGAATATATACATATATATAATATAAAAGTTTATAAAACTCAAATTGTTTAGAAAAAAGAAGTCAACGCAAGAATAAACGATGGTCATATAAAAGCTAATGCCAAAACTGAGACCTAGAAAAGAAAAACTGGAGACGGACTACGCCATATAAAAAAAATAACCGGACTCATATATTATTATTTTTAAATCTCTACAAATACCCAAATTTTAAAAGATATATAAAAATATATCAAATTTTAATTTGACGAATAAATAAAATTAATATTAAAATATTAAAAAAACCTCAATTCTTCAAATCGAAAAACACTTTTATATACGATTTTTATTACATTATCGATAATTTTATTCAAATTGTTTAAAAATTTTTCACACTCGAAATTTTAACAGATCTTAACAATCTTTATTAAAATAATGATTTTTGAATCTTAACGACATAATCAATATATAAAAAACCATTTTAAATATTTTTTGGTATATTTTAATATTTGATGTATTTATTTATTAAATTAAAAGTTGATGTATTTTTTGGTATATTTTATAAAATTTGGATATTTTTTATGAGATTTTTGATAAATTCAATAACCATTCCAAAGTTAGGTTTTAAATTACTAGAGAAAGATTCGATATTTTTTATTTTTATTCCAGGTTACCCCTATATCTATATGTGTGTTTTCATGGTTATTGTCATAGATATAAATGCTTATTTTCCCGCCTAATCCAACTAGTATGAACCGTGATAAATAGTTTATTAATACATGGATTGCGATATATAATTTGAGTTAATGTTGGAATTGTGATAAATAAAGAAGGAAAATTTTAGAAAGGAAATTAATTTCCCGCTTAACGAAACAAACGGGTTTCTTCTCTAATTAATCACACTTGTAAATCAAAGATTAACGCAGTTAATTAACGTAATCAATAGTGACGCAATCACCTCTCTCAATCAACTCTCTCTATTATTATACAGAAAAACATATGTGACCACAACCATAAACCTCATTTAAATCTCTCTCCCTCTCTCTCTCTCTCTCTCTCTCTCTCTCTCTCTCTCTAAGATAGTAAAAGAAAAGTGTTCCATATAGCGCCGGTTCGGCAGATTTCAAACCCTAGAGTTTGGATTGTGAGGAGTCTGCGCCATTGTTGGATGAGTTAGTGTTCGTCCTTCTTTGTAAGTCCGGCATTTTGGTTTTTGCTTCAGTTTGGTAACTAATTCTCTGATAATGTTCTGATATAGGTCTGTGGTCTCTGTGTTGCGTGTGTGTTACTTGTTGCAGGTGATTCTGCTCGATTGGAACCCTAGCATTTGGATCCTTGGGATCTGGATGTCTGGTGAGGAGTGAAGATCTAGATCGGAATATGGAGGTGGGAGGAGTTCCGCCGGAGGTGAACAATGGGCGGACGACCGTAAGTGAGAGCCTGTCGACGGTGATGGCCCCTTCTACGCAGCCATCTTCGTTGACCGTATCGGCGTCTTTTAGGGAAGGAGGAGGAGGTGGGGGTAAGAACTCGTCACGACGGAGGTCGGTGCGACCGAGCTTTGACGCTGACAACGAGTTCATCACGTTACTCCATGGCTCGGATCCGGTGAAAATTGAACTCAATCGGCTCGAGAACGATGTCAGAGGTGGGAAATGCTGTTCGATCTGTGGATTTCGTTTGGTCGACTTTGGATCTATTTTGAGTTTACTTTGACGATTATTTGCGGTAGAAATTGGTTTGGATGCGTATTCACTTGCCCTTACGTGCATGCATGTCATTCTCACTTTAAGCATTCTTCGAGTGCAGATAAGGATCGGGAAGTATGCGAAGCACAAGCGGAGATCAAAGCATTGAGGTTGTCGGAACGGCAGAGAGAGAAGGCTGTTGAAGAGGTTAATATTTACATAAGCTTGGACTATCTTAAAAGTTCCTAAATATTTTCATGAATTACAATGTATTTACTTCCTACCCTGTTGAACTTAAGAGGCAATTTGGTGGATTTTATTGATGAAATATGGATGCTCTTGTGGTTGAATAGTCACTTATATAGTTTGGGATATATGGATCCTGGGGATGATATTATTCAACTCATATAGTATCATTCATTGGGTTGGAATATCTGTAGGAAATCTTTCCTTTCTCATATAATAAGTATCATTCAGTAGGTTCTGTAAGTGCGATTCTGCAAGTGTTCGTGGCTGCTCAAGTACTGGAATTTTTCATTCCGCAGTCTAGAGTTGAGGTATATTCAAATCAAGGATGGACTTGGAGGACCTTTAGGCTGGGTTGTTGTGGTTCTAGTTCTTCTGCTTCAGCTTGTTCCCTCTGTTTATGATCTGGCTTCGCTTTGATTCAGCTTGTTCCAGTCATTCTGCAGAGCACTAAAGTCCTTGTTTGGAAGACTTGTTATTATTTAGTTCTGACTGTTGTTTGTAGCAAGAGGTTCAATTACTGACACCATTAGGAGGATTTCACTAGTGTGCTCACATGTATATGTTGTCTATTTTCACACACACACAGGTGCGCACAAGCACACATATATACATATATACATATATCCATTATTGCAATACTTGTAACACATTTTTTTGCTTAATGTGATTGTTGTAGCTCACCGAGGAGTTGGGAAAGATGGAGGAAAAGCTCAAATTAACCGAAGCTCTACTTGAGAGTAAAGTATGCTTACAGTAGTTCCTCAGCTATTTTTTGTGTTGGTTACTTGATTCCTACTCTCGTGTTTCTATATTTAACTTTGTCCGATGTTCTCTCAGAACCTTGAAATTAAGAAAATTAATGAAGAAAAGAAGGCTTCCATGGCAGCTCAGTTTGCAGCAGAAGCCACTCTGCGACGGGTTCATGCTGCACAGAAGGATGATGATATGCCTCCCATTGAAGCTATCCTCGCGCCTCTAGAGGCTGAACTTAAGCTTGCAAGACAAGAAGTACTTTCCTTTTTTGAACTAAAATATCTTCTTGTACCTAGACCCAGTAAGTCTCGGGTCATATCAACAGTATGGTCACAGGGTTTGCATTGCTCATTTATAGATTGCAAAACTTCAAGACGACAACAAGGCATTGGACCGACTAACCAAATCAAAAGAAGCCGCTTTGCTTGAAGCTGAAAGAACCGTTCAGACTGCAATGGCAAAGGCTTCAATGGTTGACGATCTCCAGAACAAGAACCAAGAATTAATGAAACAAATAGAAATCTGCCAGGTACTGCTATTATCTCAATTACTCTCCATAACTTCAAATTTGTATCTCTTTGCCTGTTTATCGGCAGCTGGTCTTATTTACCATTTGTTAAAACTAGGAAGAGAATAAAATTCTGGACAAGTTGCACAGACAGAAGGTTGCTGAAGTTGAAAAGCTTACCCAGACTGTGCGAGAGCTAGAGGAGGCTGTTCTTGCTGGTGGTGCGGCTGCAAATGCTGTGAGGGATTACCAGAGGAAAGTCCAAGAGATGAATGTAATAATTCATTCGCAGTTTTTGTGCCCGAGTGAATTAAGTTTCTTAATCCTTAGAGGTATACCCCACAGTGATCATAACATGTGACAATTGGTCTTTTTCATAGGAAGAGAGAAAAGTTCTTGACCGGGAATTGGCCCGTGCAAAGGTGACGGCAAACAGAGTTGCCACTGTAGTGGCAAACGAGTGGAAAGATGCTAATGACAAAGTGATGCCTGTAAAACAATGGCTTGAAGAACGGAGATTTTTGCAGGTATTGTCTATTTTGTTTTCTCCTCGATATTGCTGCTTCAAGTTGCAAAACTTGTAATCAAATTTTATAAACACCAACAACTTAAAATAAGTGAATTTTCTCATGATTTCATGTTTCTACTCCAACAGGGAGAAATGCAACAACTGCGTGATAAGCTTGCAATAGCTGAGCGGGCTGCAAAATCCGAAGCCCAACTGAAGGTAAGAGTCTTAGCTACAAACCAAGCCATCTTTAGTCTTCTTTTGTCCTGTTTTTCTGGCCTCAAATTTGAATCATTGCCTTTGCCGTCTGAAGGAAAAATTTCAAATGCGACTCAAAGTGTTAGAGGACAGTTTGAGAGGGTCTTCCAGCGGCGGCAACCGAGGGGCATTCGATGGAAGAAACGTTACTAATGGACCTTCTCGTAGACAATCCCTCGGTGGAGCGGATAACATGTCGAAGTTTTCATCAAATGGATTTCTGTCAAAGAGGACACCTAGCTCTCAGTTGAGATCTTCAAGCAGCGGTATTAGTACAGTATTGAAACATGCAAAAGGAACATCCAGATCATTTGATGGGGGCACCAGATCTTTAGACAGGGGTAAAGTGCTAACCAATGGATCAAGATCAAATTTTCTATTCAACCAGTCTTCTGGTGAGGGCGAGACATCTAGTGCAGCGAAAGATGGAGATTCAGACGAAAAGCCGAAAGAGAAGCCAGCGACAATAAATAACGAGGATAGTGTACCAGGGATCTTATACGATTTGCTGCAGAAGGAAGTGATAACTTTAAGGAAAGCATCCCAGGAGAAAGACCAGAGCATTAAGGATAAGGATGAAGCTATAGAGGTGACACACTCATTTGATAACTTAGTAGATGATGTTGTTGTTGTTGTGTATATAGAGCCGAGATCAACAACACGTTGAGTTATCGGTTCTTGGATGATAGATGTTGGCAAAGAAGGTGGAAACACTGACAAAGGCGATGGAAGTGGAGGCGAAGAAGATGAGAAGAGAGGTAGCGGCCATGGAGAAAGAGGTTGCGGCCATGCGTGGCGTGGAGAGCAAGTCCAGACGGTCCGCAAAGGGTTCTTCAAGCACGGCTCAGCTGCTTTCTGGAAGGTAGTTGGTTCACTAAGGATTGCTCACGAAAGTCAATTAAAAAAAAAGATGTTCTAATTTTACAGGAAAATGAATGGACATTTATGATTATAAACGACATTGAATGAATGAGATTTTTTTGCAGGGCATCGGGAAGGAGCGGGATGACAAGGAGCACTCAATAAAGTAAAGAAAGAAATCGGCCTTCCCTTCCACGGCCAGAAAGAGAAAAAAAGCGCCCCATACGAGGAATACCCGAAATTGGTGTATGCTGTTCTCTCTCTCTCTCTCTCTAACATGTTAGATTCTTATTGTCCTAACCTTTTTGGTGGTGTCTTCTTCTTCGTAATTATTCTTTAAAGATCTCTCACTCCCGAAGCTGTGTTTTCATTATTGTGTGATTACTATTATTGTTATTATGTAAAAAGGGTAGAGTCTCTCTCCCTCTCTCCGTCGCACCATAATTAACCCTCCCGGCCAACATCTATATATGCTAACATATTTATGGGTCAGATAAAATTCGCCTACCACTATACTATATCCCTTTTACCATACAAAGAAAGAAGGGAATGGTTCTTTGTTGGTTACTGGTCGTTTATGCTGATTTGTGTGCATCATCAACCTTTTCAACTCTTGAAAATTTTGAATTTCAAATATGCGTCCAACCGATTCGATACAGAGCAAACCAGGGTTAAGAGTTTCCGAAATTGGCCCAACAACGATGGGTTATATTTAAGTTGGTTCCGTCGACCGTTTTCTCAGGCTCCTCTTCCCAGATTCCTCAACCCTCCACCTTCCTCACGATACCCGTCATCCACTCCCACTCATTTTGATCCCTCCTTTTTTCCTTCGATCTAGACCTGATCTTTGTCCTCACATTGCTGGATCCTTGACCCCGATCCAGGAAAAATGGCGACCATGAAGAGTTTGATAGGTCTCATCAACAAAATCCAGAGAGCTTGCACCGTCCTCGGCGATCATGGCGGCGAAGGAATGTCCCTTTGGGAAGCTCTCCCTTCCGTCGCTGTCGTCGGTGGCCAGGTTTTTCCCTCTCTCCTTTCCTTTTTATATTCACATTTAGATCCGATCTCGTTTCCGCTTTCTCCCTCTTTTTTTTTTTTTTTGGTTTCTTGCGTGTTTCATCTCTTTACCGATTTTCTTCAATGTTTCTTTCTGGATCAGAGTTCGGGAAAATCTTCTGTTCTTGAAAGTGTTGTGGGAAGGGATTTTCTTCCTCGTGGATCCGGTAATTTTCTCTCTCATTATGTCATGTTGTTCCTTGTTTGTCGGAAAATTTCGTACTTTTAGTCGTCCCGATCGATTTTAGCTTGAAACAATGTAGCATTACGGGTTACGGAATTAGGGGGTTATTGGATCTGTCCTGAGTACACTGAAGAACTAAACACGCTAGCTCTTCATTTCCTTAGGTTGCGAACAGTGTTGTTGGTTGTTCGTAGATCATTTTCTCCGAACCCTAGTCAGGCTATATCTGGTCGATCAGATATTTTCTTCAAGCGCTCATCTCAGCTCTTCTCTGTTTGATTCATTAGGTATTGTCACAAGGAGACCGTTGGTGCTGCAGCTTCATAAGACAGAAGACGGTACAACGGAATATGCAGAGTTTCTTCATGCCCCAAAGAAGAAGTTTACCGATTTTGGTAAGCTAGCAGGGCATCTTATTTGTCAATTTTTATTTGTTCCTCTGGCACTTTTTGTGAAACTGACTGTTGTTTACAATGAATTTCTTGTGGATATTCTGGCTAATAAGTGCTCCTTTCTTTTCCAGCGACCGTGCGAAAGGAAATCCAGGATGAAACTGATCGTATCACGGGGAAGACGAAACACATTTCAAACATTCCAATCCAGCTGAGCATATATTCCCCTAATGGTTTGTGCTTATGACCGCAATTCATTTGAAATCTGCCTGTCGTGAATGCTGCTGTGCGTTTATCTGATCGGCACCAGCAATTATCAGCCTTTGTTGCAAATTTTGTTGTTGTTAAGTGTAGTGGGATTAGTTATGGGGATCCACTTTACCAGTTTTTAAGGCTCCACTTCACTCATGTGAGCTTGATTTCTCACTTTAAGAAGATGCTTCTCTCTTGCAGTTGTGAATCTGACACTTATAGATCTTCCTGGTTTGACGAAGGTTGCTGTAGGTAACAATCTTTCAGCTCATCAGTGTCGTGGTTATTTCATCCGGCAAATTTTTATGTTTAGTGACATGAATATTTTTTTCGCAGAGGGACAACCGGACAGTATCGTCCATGACATTGAAAATATGGTCCGTTCTTATGTTGAGAAGGTCAGTTTGCTCTATGCTATTGATGATTGGACCTAACTCTTAAAAGAAAGAAGATTAATACATTTAAAAGTTTTGATAGACATTCAAAACTAAATTCAGCCAAAGTAGTAGACATAACAACTATAGTTACTGCTAAATGCTCAAACCTTCAATATCTGCTTGGCAACCATCAAAGCTTATGCCATGCTATTGCATCGTTAAAGATGTTATTGGGTTCTCCATCCTCAGGAAAATCCACCAGATGTGAAGTTAACCTGAAATCAATGATTTTCTCACCAATTTCGTTATATATGCAGCCAAATTGCATCATATTGGCTATTTCTCCTGCCAATCAAGATATTGCTACCTCAGATGCAATTAAACTTGCTAGAGAAGTCGATCCATCAGGTACTGTGCAATGTAGACACATGGTGCTATTAACTTTCACTATGTATACTATATTGTAGTCTTCCAATACATCATCTGTGTACAGGTGAAAGGACTTTTGGAGTTCTGACGAAGCTTGATCTCATGGATAAAGGAACAAATGCTCTAGATGTAAGGAGATTTCTAAACTTCAACATTGGGATATTGAAATAAATTTTGACTTATATAATGAATTAATGTTTGCTTTGGTTTGTGCCTAAGGTGATTGAGGGGAGATCGTACCGCTTGCAGCATCCCTGGGTCGGAATTGTGAATCGTTCCCAGGCTGATATCAATAAAAATGTTGACATGATTGCTGCACGTAGGAAGGAGCGTGAATATTTTGAAACAAGCCCTGAATACGGACACTTAGCCAGTAAGATGGGATCAGAATATCTTGCAAAACTATTGTCTGAGGTGCTCTATCATTTATAAGATTTTGACGTCATCTAAACCAAAGATTTAACACAGAGAATTCACTCTCTTCTGTTTTCTTTTTTAAATCTGTATCAGCACTTAGAGATCGTTATCAGGCAGCGTATACCAAGCATAATTGCTTTGATTAACAAAAGCATCGATGAGATCAACGCAGAGCTGGATCGCATTGGTAGGCCTATTGCTGTAGATTCAGGGGTAAGAATCCTTTCTTGACATTATCATTCCTCTGAGCAGGGTTAGAAGTGAATTTGCAGTGACTCGCCAAATGTCATGTTTGCTTCCAGGCCCAGCTCTATACAATTTTGGAACTATGCCGGGCCTTTGATCGTGTCTTCAAGGAACACTTGGATGGAGGGTAAGAGTTGCAAACTCTCTCAAGAATTGTTGGTCGTATGGTTCTTACACCGTTCGGTCTTTATACCATTACAATTAGTTCAGAGACTACGAATGCCTTAATAAAAGTTGCAAACTTTCTACAATGATGGCTTTCTCATATACATGTATGAAAACGCTCTACTCCATATGACCCGGTAAGTCTAGTTTTTCTCATATACCATCTTGTTGTTTCAGACGACCTGGTGGAGATAGGATATATGGAGTGTTTGACCATCAATTGCCAGCTGCTTTGAAGAAACTTCCCTTTGATCGCCATCTCTCTACCAAAAATGTCCAGAAAGTTGTTTCAGAAGCAGATGGTTATCAGCCACATCTTATTGCTCCTGAACAAGGATACAGAAGGCTCATTGATGGATCTATAAGTTATTTCAAGGGACCAGCTGAAGCTACTGTAGATGCGGTATGCCCTGGATCTTGTTAGGTTCCTTTATGTTTGAGGCTAGTTTCTTATATTCTGGTTATTCTCTAGATTTGTGTAGTTTCTCTTTAATAATTCCTTTATCATTATCTGAATCCTGTCTGTGTTCCAGGTGCATTTCGTGTTGAAAGAGCTAGTCAGGAAGTCAATCTCAGAAACAGAGGTGAGAGAATTTTGTAGCCAAGCAAACATATAATTGAGTGTTTCTCAATCTCAGTACAATGGGTCAAAAAATTTTGTGGCTCAATCCGCAAATACGAACAAGGAGCTATTATAAAATTCACGGGTTGGTCTTATTCTTGTGTGCCGGTTTTCAGGAACTGAAGAGATTTCCAAGCCTAGCAAGTGACATAGCAGCAGCTGCAAATGAAGCACTGGAAAGATTCAGAGAAGAAAGCAGGAAAACAATTCTGCGTCTGGTCGACATGGAATCCAGCTACCTCACGGTCGAATTCTTCCGGAAACTTCATCTCGAGCCCGAGAAAAACCCACAGCAGGCACCCCCAACTCCAAACTCTGACCGTTACGCCGATAATCACTTCAGAAAGATCGGTATGTTTATAGTAACACCTTCTACCCCTCCTCTAGTCACCACGAATCGATTATACAGATTTTCTGGATGATGGAATTTGTCAGGATCCAACGTGAGTGCGTATATAAACATGGTAATGGACACACTAAGGAACTCGATTCCAAAAGCTGTGGTTTACTGCCAAGTTAGAGAAGCCAAGAGATCACTGCTCAACTTCTTCTACGCTCAAGTTGGGAGGAAGGAGGTAAAAACCATCATCCCTTCTTCTGTGATTCTGATTAGAAGAGGCATATTATTATTGGGTCCCAATATCCTGAAAAAAAAATGAATTTTCAAAATTTATCATATGAAATACATGAACTTTGAAAACATTTCTTCAAAGATACACAGTCTTTTTTGAAAAAATTACCATAAACTCACATCCATTGTAAGATATTTGCAAACTTAGGTTTACGGCAATATTTATAAATTTTAGTAGAAATTTTATAGTTTATATATTTATATGGCAATTTTCGAACCCTGTATTATTCATTTGGGTTTGAGTTTAATAAAAAAAAAAATGGGAAATGGGTGAATGTGGTGGAATGATGCAGAAGGAGAAGCTAGGGGCAATGCTGGATGAGGATCCGCAGCTGATGGAACGAAGAAGTCAGTTGGCTAAGCGTCTCGAACTCTACAAACAAGCCCGTGACGACATCGACTCCGTTGCCTGGAGATAGTCGGAAATTACTCTTTCCACTGATTTAAATTTTTTTTTTTAAGAATGATTCGATCCCATAGAAAATGTCGTCTCTTTGTTAGATATTTAGCAATTTCATCGTCAACATATATATATATATATATATATATATATATGTATGTATGTGATACGATTCATTTCGTATGAATTTGAGTTTACATTGGAACGAATATTTGATGGAAATGAATACGTTTGGGGACCTTGCTAGGCATTACTTTTTCCACAGCACAAGGCCCTCAGTCCCTTTCTCAAACCCACTGGAACACTGTACGGTTCAATCATTTCTTCCCCCCCACACCTTCTCCGTGTTCTTCTTCTTCGATCCCATTCCCACCCTTATCCCCCTCCCTCTAGGGTTTTCTTCTCCTTCTCAGATCTCCCCACCTTGCCCTCTCTAAAGTTCTTCCATCTCTCTCTCTCTCTCCGACGTCGATCATGGGCTGAGACCTATTCTTCCGCGTTCGTGATTGTCTTCTTGTCCCCGTTTTTTTTCTCCCGCCATGTCTGGCTTTCACAACGGAGACGGCTGTTCCGGAGGAGCTGCTGCAACAGCTGTCTCCGATCAGTTTCCCGCCGGTTTGAGGGTCCTCGTCGTCGACGACGACGCTTCCTGCTTGAAAATTCTCGAGAAGATGCTTCGCCGGCTCATGTACCAAGGTCCGGTTCCGTCTCAAATCCCCAGACTTTATTACATGGGTTTCCCGAGAATTTGGTGTCGTTGGCTGAGTTGTCTGGTTTTAACATCTGGGGTTAGTTTCGTTTTTTTGCAGTCACCATTTGCTCACAAGCAAATGTTGCTTTGGCTATTCTGAGGGAGATGAAAGGCTGTTTCGATTTGGTTCTGAGCGATGTCCACATGCCCGGCATGGATGGATATAAGCTTCTCGAACAAGTCGGTCTCGAGATGGATCTTCCGGTTATAAGTCAGTAACTTTGCCCTCTTCTTGACGAATTACGTATCTTTATACGGTTTTGCGTGACTGTTCGTTCTCCTGCTTCTGCAGTGATGTCGGCTGATGGGAGAACGAGTACGGTCATGACAGGTATCAACCACGGTGCTTGTGATTATCTGATCAAGCCCATACGTTTGGAAGCGCTTAAGAACATTTGGCAACACGTTGTCCGGAAAAAGTGGAGTATGAACAAGGAGGTTCATCTGTCTGGTGCTTTAGACGACAGAGATCCGTTCAGACAAAGAAACGACAGCCCTGAGAATGCTTTTTCTGCCAGCGATGGTTCGGATGGAAGTTCGAAACATCAGAGGAAGAGAAGTTGTGTTAGAGAAAACGAAGAGGATGACATTGAGAAGGATGATCTTGATTCTGCCTCAAAGAAGCCAAGGGTTGTTTGGTCTGTGGAACTGCATCAGCAGTTTGTCAGTGCCGTAAACCACCTCGGGATTGACAGTAGGATCTTCCTAAATCTTTTAGCACATCAAGGGGATACAATGTTCACTACTTGATAGCTGATTAAGATAGAATACCTTGTGTTAAAACTGTCCCTCCTGACTAGAGTGTTTTGCTTCTGTTTCAGAGGCGGTACCAAAGAGGATTCTCGAGCTGATGAACGTGCCTGGTTTAACCCGAGAAAATGTCGCCAGTCATTTGCAGGTTTGATCTATTCCTCTGGCCCTCAACGACTGCTTTCTTCGTTACAACGAGAATTCGGTTTGGTTCATGACTAGAGTTTCAAGCATTACTTTTGAGCTGTAGGAATCTTGTACATGCCAAGGTTGGCTCTCTAAAGATATTGAATTGCAATTGAAAACTGGGTTTTGCAGAAGTTCAGATTGTATTTGAAGCGATTGAGCGGTGTGGCTCCCCAAAGTAGTGTGTGCAATATTGCGCAGCCTAACCTAAAACTCGGAAGATGTGATATTCAGGCACTGGCTGCCTCTGGACAGATTCATCCGCAAGCATTAGCAGCTCTGTTTGGTCAAACACTCCCAGTAGGCAACCTGCATCAGCCTGCCCTCGTACAACCAACCCTTCCTGGACCCAAGTGCCTTCCCCTTGGACAATCAGTAACTTATGGTCACCCCGTAGCAAAATGCCCCCCTCCTGATGTATCCAAGAATTTCCAGCACTCTGTTCTTCTGGCCAAGGATCATCGAGCCGGATTCGGAGCATGGCTGCCGAACAACCATCTCAGCACAATGGCTTCTGAAAAGCTGAACTTTCAGCAGAACGAGGATTTCCCCGAGGATATGTCCCAAAAATCCAACCCCACGATCAATGTGCAGCCTTCTTGCCTTGTGGTGCCATCTCCATCATCAAACAATTGTTTGGGAGTGACCAATAGTCCTGCTTCTGTCAATCAAACCATTGTCGGATTCACTAATGCTGCAGTGTTCGATCACAGTGTGCTCTCTGCACAACAAGGGCCTCTCTCTCCATGTGTATCATCATCGGCTTGCACGGTAAATACAGACAATAATGTGATGCCAAGGAAGAGGCATCCGGGGTTTGTCCATCGGCTTCCGAGCAGGTTTGCTATAGACGAGATGGAGTGGTCTCTGGACAATTTGGATAATGGAAAAAACTTTGACAGTGAAATAATCATCAAGCAGGAGCTGGGTGTTGACCCCATGAACATTGTAAGGAGCGGCGGCGCTTTGATATTACAGCAGTTTCATTCAAACGAGCTCACGAGTGTTTTCACTAAATAGGTAACCACCATCACTTTTGATATAATATATAAACCAAATTATGCCTTGTGGTTTTGATCTCTTCGTCTGTTTCCATTGTTTGATTATGACGATAAGTTTGGTGGCTGAGCCTGACAGTGCTTGCTTTTGACCCAACAGGTTTCAGACTAAAAAGTCAAAGACTTTGACTTCAATCTTCGTCCTCCTAAATGATATCTGGTTCGTGGTAACTGGAGAACGTAAAAAGTAAAAGAATGTTGTTATTTTACTATGGGTAGAGATTAGGTGTAAAAGCATGGCGTATGTATGTTCCAATTCCCACGTCTTAGGAACAAGAGTTAGTGTTAAGGAATGAGGTCAACTTAAGGGTCCTAATGCTCCAAATGTCTGTGGAGCATCTTCTTCCACGTGTACTTTGTGTCTTTCTTAGGATGTTTATGTTCATCATTCGATTTGGCTATATATATGCTTATACCCCCCAAAAAAATTTACTCAAGTGATGATTTTTTTCAGTTCAAGGGCTAAAAGGGTGATTGTTTCTGAATCACATCGGATATTTTCGTAAGCGGTAATCACATCGGATGTATGTTTATGAATTTTAAACAATAACAAAAAAGCTATAACATTGATAAAGTTTTTTCAAGAAATTTAAAAACACAATATGTGTATATATATATATATATATATATTCACGAACATTAGGGGGATATGGTCTCAAGGGAGAGAGAGACAAATGGCGCCGCTCGGTGACAAGGAAAAGTCATTGACCGATGGTTTGACCGCTAAGTTCTTTTTTTTAAACATTTGATGAGCTGTCGGAAATTGTAGCTTCATCTACGTCCAGTCTCTTCTTTTGTCTGCTTTCACAACCACATGTAATTTCAACCTCTTTTTTTTTTTTTTCATTTTCGTAAAAAAAAACAGTTTTTTTATCTTATAGTGCATTAAATAGTTCAATTTTATCATAAAAAAAAAAACAGTTTTGAGTATCACACGTGAAAGACTTCCAATACCCTTTTTATGCATTCGAATTTGACATTTTTTATGGAAACACAAATTCTATTACAACACCACATGCAAATGAATTTTTTTTGTTTTTTTTTATAATCCGAAAATTCACCGTGTCTTTGACCCGACTATATCTTTCAAAAGATCGAAGAAATTCATATAAATATCCCTCTCCACATTTGAGTTTGAACACAGGATGAAAACATGCTATCTGTAAACATTTTTTTTTAGAGATTCATGTCGTGTGGGTGGGGGAGGGGCTTGGAACTGTATAAAAAGAGTGAGTGGAAACGCAGAGGAGTAAAGAGTGAGAGGTCGTTATCGGAGAAGGCAATAATAATAATAATAATAATAATAATAATAATAGTAAAAGGGTGATGGTTCTATTTCTGGCAAATTCATCACTCATTAAAATTGGAGCTGTCACATTTACAAAACAGTTTTCTTCCTATTTAAGATCTTCTACTATGCAACTTGTGATTCCTTTTCTTCCTTCTTTTGCTTTTCTCCCACCAATATTCTCTCTCTTCATCATCATCCTTAGGATGGGGTTTGTTTCCATTTATTCGGTTAGGATAGGATCAAATTAGATTCAGTTATTTTGGATTTTAAATATTTACAATTCAACGATTCTTTAATTTTAATCGGTTTGGTTCGATTCAGTTTAATCCGATTATATCAAATTAAAATTATAACCAAATTATATAATCAAATAAAAATTCGGTTCGGTAATAATATATAATAGATGAAATAAATTTTAAAGCATTATTGAAGAAAAAAATTAGAAGCCTCACTTTAGTTGTATATCATATTTATAAAATAATCTCATTACGCTAATTTCTATACATATATAACATATACGATATATTAATCAACAATATATAGATGGACAACCGGTTATATTCAGTTATTCAGTTACGGTTAAATCCGGTTCGATTTATTTGGTTTATGTTTAATAAGGTTCAATTATTTCGAATTTTTTAAAAAATTACAATCAAACGGTAATTTAACTTTAATCTGGATAAAAATCGGTCAAGTTGGGTTCGGTTTTCAAATAACCGAACCGTTTGTTCATCCCTTAACCACCATATATATATATATATATATATATATATATACACATTCGTAATTACATGTCTTGAGAGGCTTTTTTTCGTTGTTGTTGTGTATTGTGCACTTCGAGGAGAGAAGGAAAATGATGAAACAAGGAAGGAGAAGTTCCTTTCTTTCTGAGATGTTGAAGCTACAGAGACAATGTAAATAAAACATTTTTTTTTATAATAAATAAAAAAAATAAAAGGCTTTTTCGTTTTGTGCGTCTTCTAATTCTATTTATTGACAGTCTGACTCAGATTGCTTTCGTAAGCAATACCCCATGCTTCACCATTTTCTTCCATCTTCATCTCTCTCTGTCTCTACTGTTCGTCCACGTCGCTACGTGTCGCTCTATATATATATATATATATATATATATATATGTATGTATATATCATGCATATAATACCTCAAACCCTTTGATGGATAATTCAAATATAAGGGAATATAGTTAATGGTCAATTAATTATCTAATCGAATTTGTTAATATATACGGGCCAAAATTTTCGCATATGTGAAAGGCCAATACGAAACGAATAAAGTAGTGTCTTGAAAAAACCCACAACACAGATGTTTTTTATATTTTAATCGACGAAGCTATAGATTCTCTCCGAGATATTTGTATGTTTTATTAAATAAATTATTGATAATTCGTACGCCTGAGCTGTCTTCTATATGTAATAGGCATGTGCTGTAAGTATTTTGATGGTCCTAATATTTATATGTCCCAAGGGACGTGAAAATAATGTTTCTAATTGACTAGTAGTACATGCACACACACACACACACATATATATATATATATAGTAGACTGACAGTACAGTCATTGACCGACAAAAAGACCGAAACTAAACTTAAAAACCCTAGATTTAATCACATATATAGTATGTGTATGTGTGTCTATATATATATATATATATATATATATGCAAACACATAGTAGTGTTTGTGTGAGACAAGAAACACATGGAGGAGAAGGGAGATGAGAGAAACTCTATGAAAAGTGTGAAGAAAGAACTTCAGAATGCAAAAGAAGAAGAAGAAGAAGTGGAAGTCCTTAAGAAGAGAATCTCAAGCCATCCTTTGTATGGGCTTCTCCTCGAGGAACATCTCAACTGTTTAAAGGTCCTCTCTCTCTCTCTCTCTCTCTCTCTCTCTCTCCAGAGAAATGAACATGTAGCAGCCATTACGACAATGGAATGTGTTTCATCTAATCATCAGGTCAAATATATATTACAAGACTACAAATATATAAACCTATCTGTTTCTTGTTTTACATTTCAGTTCCTTGACAGTGTAAAATGGATGATAACAATGATGGTGCAGTAATTAAACTCGAAAGAAGCCATAAATAACCAAATTAAAAGATATATAAAACGGACTAAATAATTTAATTCGTAAACCTAATGGGTCCTTTTATTCGAACTATATATATATATATATATATACATACACACACGGCAGGTTTGCTCAGGCGACGACCCACCAGAGATAGAAACAGAAGAAGCAATAACGCTCCTTGACAAAGCCACTCCCCGCCCAGATTCATCCCCTCACCTCGATCTTTTCATGGTTCTCCTTCTCCTCCTTTTTTTTTTTCCCGTTATTTCGCTCTTTCAAAATATTGTTTTTTATATTAAAGAACGTTATTTCATATAACAAAAAAAATATAAGAACTTATGGATATATATATATATATATATATATGTATATGTAAAACGTACAGGAAGCTTATTGTGCGGCTCTACGGGAGCTGAAGGAAGCGATGGAGAAGCCTCTCCAAGAAACGGACCGTTTCGTTGGATCCATGTACTCTCAGCTAAACGACATCGTTCGATCTTCCCCCCACCCGTAAAAACCCACACAGACACAACCCGTGGAAACTATACGCATCTGCCCCTCCGTTTCCGTAGCCGGAGATGCTCACGAGTCGAACCGTGAACGTGTTGGAATTAATTACCAGTATGCCCTTCTGTATCTCATGTGTCGTTTGTTCTCTCTTTTCTTCCCATCCATCTATCCATTCCATATATATATGACAGCGTATGTGAATAGATTCTGTCTTCATTATCCTTATTTTGAATATATATATATGGCTACGTACTCAAATGCGAGATTCAGAGATAAATAATTTGCGAGGTAATAACGTTACAAATTACAAATTAAAAAGACCACACACACACACATACATATATATATATAGGCTGACTAACTAGCTAGAATCTAAACTAGCATTGATATTTATATTTTATCGTTTAATTTTGATTTAGATATCCCAGATTGGTCAATCAGTTGATTGGATTTTGATGTTTTGTTTTGTATACTATACTAATCTCTATTTATTTCTATAATATTTTTTTCTTTATTTAGATATCTCTTGCATATATTTAAACTATAGTGATTGAGACACATTAATGTTGAGATATGAAGAGAGTATAGGAATGATATATTCCAATATTAGGAAACAAGCAAGGAAATATGTCCAGCTTTTTTATTCATTCGATGTTAGAAAGAGTACAGAAGATTAAAGATGCATGTGGTGATATGACATTAATGCCGAACGACCTTGGCCAGACCAAAGGCCGCGGCCGAGGCGATGGCACCTATAAAGGCGGTCTGAAATGCGCTTCTGAAGGGTTGGCTGCCGGTGAAACGGCCCTTTCCGTAGCCGAAGACAAGCAGAGCCACCAACGTTATGACCACCGACGCGACCACTGCCTCCGTGGCTCGTGCCACGAACATGTACGGGAACAGCGGTACGACACCGCCTACCACGTAGGCGATTGCGATTGTGAACGCGCTCTGAAACGCTCTTTGTGGATCGGGTTTCTCCAGTCCCAGTTCGAATCTGCACGTCACAGTGTTGAATAACCGACGAGGGAAAATAGATTAATAATGCGTTTAATCTTGAATTTATAAATGGGTTGGCGTGCATGAAATGGTTACAAATGAAAATTTTCATTCAATGTCGTGTAAAGTGAATTTGGACCGTATAGAATCTTGCTCACACCTGGAAAGTACGAGCTCAGCTTTTGCACTTCGACTTTTCTATAATTCATTAAACTTTCTTGTTATATTAATTATTATTATATATATATACACATGCATGTGTGGTCCAATTTGTTTGAAGGAAATATTTATATTTTCTTTTTATAATCAAAGACCAAAGAGAGAATATAATCAAGGGCGAGGGAGTAACCTCATCATGAAATCAAGCCAGGCTCGAGGGTTCATTCGGAGGGCGTTGACAATAGGTGCATATTCATGTGGCTCTATCCCGTAATTAGCCAAAATCTCTGCCACCTCGGCCGCTTCTGCAATAATAATATTTTTTTAATTTGTGTTATAATTAATTCGCATAGTTCGACGGCTAGGATCGAGTCAAATGGTCAAACCTGTATCAGGAACGGTGAGGATCTCTTCCTGTTCTCTTTTCAGCTCCCTCGCATAGTGTTCCGCTTCGCTTTTGGCCGCCAAGTACCTCAATTATAATAATACGGGTTCACGGTCGTAATTTCAATTTATGTATTAAACACGAACCGGTATCAAGGTTTTGATTTCATGAATATTTAATTAATTGGATTCCGCTCTATAAAAAAAAAAAGGCCAGACTTGTTTCACGTTATTTATGATGTTTCTTTTCTTTTTTTTTTAGCAATACAAATTATAAGTTTGCATATTAATTAAAACTATCTACTTATAAAATATATTTGCATAAAAGAAGATGTCATCTCTATGTAAAAAAAAAAGTCAGCTTCAAGATGATGAATAACTTTATTTATACTCATTTTTTCTTATGGCTAATAAAATAAATTTCCATGCAAAAACGTTTTCACGCGGAATACTGTAAATACACACGAATATATATATATGCATGTATTGCATGTCGGGTTTTGAGTTGCAAATAATTAAGCTCGCATAGTTGAATGAACAGAACCGGTTCGATTACGTAAAAACATAACATTAACTACGTGATTAACAACTCACATAACAAATAAAAAAGGGGTAAAATATATATACAACAAAAGAAATCCCCCGCCGAGACCCATGGAGATGGCACCGGCGGCGACCTCGGCGAAGCCGGCGGTGAGGACGATGGAAGAGGAGGCGTTGACGCCGGAGAGACCGGCGGCAAGGGCGAAGGGAACCGTCAGACCGTCGGAGACTCCTATGATGACGTCACGCACGACGTCACCGGCCGTGAAGTGTTTCTCCTTGTGGCTGTCGAGAAGTGTTTGCTTCTCCGGCTCGATCGTGATGATCCTCGTGTTCCCCTCCCACATCGACATTCTCTCTCTGCTTTTTTTTGGGAAATGTTATTTATTTTTCCAATTTCTAGGGTTAGTACTAACTGAGCCAGGTGAAAGCGGGAAAGCCTAAAGGCATATATTATACAATACACGAACAACGAGGGGAATATCAAAGGCACGACGCCGTATATATACTTTAATAAATCTCTCACCCTCATCGAAGAATGACTTTATATACGCATATATATACATATATATATTAGGTCTTCCATATGTCGGCACATACCATTTTTATATATGCGTACGCATCATAAGTTGGTTCATGAAGAAACGAATGAAGTTTACATTAATGAAAATTTTACTCACTCCGTTTGTTTCAAAATAAATGTTGTTTTAGATTTTGTCAAAATTTAAAAAAAAAACATATAAACCCTTATTAAACAATATTTATATTAACATTCTATTGAAGTTAAATAGTTTTTATTAAAGATAAAATCAAAAACTTTATTAAAAATCACTAAAAAACGATATCTATTTAGTAAAAAAAAATTTAGAACGTCATATATTTTAAATTGGCGGATTGGCGGTGAGAGATGTATATATATATATATATATATATATATATATATATATATATATATTATAGTGACATACTGAATTGATTTATTTTTTACACATTCAGGAATAACATGGACTACACCTGAGAATCGGTCCAACTTAGGATAGTGTGTGTGGATTTAGTGTTTGGATTGGATGCGTATCTTAGAATAAAATTGGGGCAACAGACAAGGCCCGAGAGTTCGACCTAGCCAGATAAGATGCGCGTGTCTGCCGCATGCCCCTCTCCACGACATGACGCCACGTCAGCTTAGGCATCCACTCTCATTTTCGTTTTTCTTTAAAAAAAAAATTAATTTTAAAATCTCAAAAATACGGGAGAAAAGAAAGCTACTAATCCTAAATTTCTGCAAAAGAATAACGCGTGAGAAAAAGCATATCGCGTTACGAAGATAACACCATACGCAAACCCCCAATTCATACCGACCAATATATTTTTTTTATATTTATCCACTTCAAATTATAAGATAGATTTATTACATTTAATTTTTTTTTTTATCGATCCGTTCCTCAAATTTTATACCTTTGGCATAGACAGCATACCAACCACACCCTACAACCAAAATTACAACCACTTTAGCGACTAATATTTTCCCCCCTTTCGCTTTTAGAAAACCAAGTTCATTTGTCGTATAACGTACAATTTTGCTTTTATACGGTGTACAATTTAAATCAGTTACATTACACGCACAATGATCGGAACGAATTATAATTAAAAAAATCGCGTTATAAAGTATCATCCAATAAGTGCAAAACCACGTGTGATATTATACAAGTGCAAACAGTTCAATTTGGAACTAAATATAATGTCAAAAGTACTCCCACTTTTTTTTTTTTCATTTTCTGTTCAACAATACAAAATCTTTTTCAGGGGAACATGACAATATGACATGACGGAGTGTTTCCAGCATTTGTCTTTTTGTTTTTTATATAAAAAATTATAATAAATGTTTCTGGGTCTGACCAGTCCGAGATTCATTACATAAAATGGGCTTCTATGAAATCGGTCTTATTATGAGTTAAAGTTTTATAGCCCACAAGAAGCTGCGTAACTCGATTAATAATTTAAACCGGAACAAATGTCATTATAATGAACAAAATCTGATGCACATCAACTATATTTATTACTCTTTAAACATCTTACTCTATCCGTTTCAAAATATTTGCAGTTTTAAGTTATTTTCCATGTTTCAAAATATTTGTCATTTTATATTTTCAAAATATTTTTTTACAATAGTTTCCAATTTTATTCCTATCAAATTTCAATAAATTATTAATGATATTATTATTTTTTATCATTAAATAATGGTATATGTGACTTTTTTATCTCTTTTTAAAAAAATATGAAATAATGTAAAACAATAATTATTTTTGGAAAATACAAATATAAATGGCTTTAAATGCATATTAAATGAAAAACAAAAACCAATGGATGGAAAGTTCAAAACAAAGGAGACCGACGGGAAATATATTTTCTTTTTCGTAATCTCTCAAGTGATCTGAAAGAAAAAGAACACAGCAGATTCTCCGGTGAATCATCGGAAACATCTGTGAGGGACGACGACGACGGCGAACACGAAAGTCTCTCCTCCAAACTTCCTTTTGGAGTGGAAGGTTCCCTTTCGTCTCGGATGTTATGTACATTCTCCTCATTAGCACAGTCTAAGATCTTGTCGGGTAATTGATACCCATGTTTCATCGAAAGCCCCCTCCTCATCTGCAAAACAATTTTTTTTTTAAAAAAAAAAAATTCAAAATTATGCGACTCAATAATAAAAATATTAGATTTCCTCATACCAAAAAAAAAAAAAAAAATATTAGATTTCCCACGACGAAGTTAAATGTTAGAAATGCATATGTAATAGGGGTGGGCGAACGGTCGGTTACGGATTAATCGGTTACGGTTATTTCGGGTTCGGTTATTTCGGGTTATTAAAACTCATAACCAAACGGTTAATTAATTTTATTCGGTTCGGTTCGGTTCGGTTTCAGTTCGGTTCGGTTCGGTTTTGTCTATTTAAAACTATAACCAAACTATAACCAAATAAATATTTCGGTTCGGTTCGGTTATAATATTTAAAAAATCAATTCATTTATAATTAAAAATATTCAAATAAAATATAATATAAAATATTATCATAATTATTTTAACATATAAAATAATAATATCTAAATTTATATTTTGATATAAAACTATTAAATAAATAAAGATCGTTTTTTTCTAATGTTTATATCAGACAAACTTTAAAAATAATAATAACAATGATAAAATGCGTTTAAAATATAATAAAACAATGATCAAATCAAGAATATAAACATTCATATATGTATATAAATATATATAAATGACGATATATAAACGGTTCGGTTCGGTTCGGGTTCGGTTAATTCGGTTTATAAAAATTTATAACCAAACGGTTAATAATTTTTAATCGGTTCGGTTCGGTTCGGGTTCGGTTATTTCAGGTTTTAAAAAATCATAACCAAACAGTTATTTAATTTTATTCGGTTCGGTTCAGTTCGGGTATATATCGGTCGGTTCGGTTAATAACCGAAATACCCGAACCGAATGCCCACCCCTAATATGTAACCTTGCAGGAGATGGAACAGAATCGATTAGGAATGTCTTGAATGTATCTTCGACATGTCTCGCATGAAGCTCCGTTCTTGGATTTGGTCGAGGGCTTCGCATCTTTTGCTTGTGGCCTCGGATTCAAATGTATTGCCTTTTTCCCCGTTTATTTTGTATGCCTTCCATTTTCACAATAACAATGATCTTATATTAGTATATTAATTTAATATTAGAGAAAATCTTATACTAGTATTTAAGTTCAATTCATTTTTTATGCCAGAAAATTGTAATCTAATTGATACATCACTATTAAAATCGGGGTTTTTAATTGTCATTCATTTTGGGACTTTGATATCCATTTATAACATTTTAATATTGGAGTTATATATTTGAAATATTTCAACTCTTGAGATATCAATTATAAAAAAATATAAAAGTTTTAAGTATTTATTTAGTATATTTTACAAAATCGAATATTTATACAACATTTTCTCTAATATTATGAATTCAATAGTATGATCAAATGCGTATGTCATCACAACAACAAACTGAACACAAATGTCCGAACGGCTCGACGACCGCTATACTGCCAAACAAATCACAAGATTCCTTTTTTTTTTCTTTTCAAAAATCAGATTTTTTTTTGTTGATAAGCAAAATATACAGAATCGAAAGAAAAGGAAGGACCTTCTACCTGAATTTGGGAGCAATCGAAGTGAGGTTGAAAGTCGAGAAGACGAAGAACGTATTGGTAAACGTATTTGCAGATCTGAAGACGGCGATGAAGAAGGTGAGAATCGGCGCAATGTCTGCAGGTTCCGACACGACAGTCTATGCAAAACACGTTCTTCCTAAGACACCGATGTTCTCCACAGTCCCCGAAGAACTCCGTGCTCAGCAGTTTCTCCATCCATTTCTCCGTTTTCCCTCCATCCTACGGAACGAAATCAATACAAACTCGGGGTTTTTTTTTCTTCTCACAGCGATTAGAGATTATCACAAACGGGGTATTTTCTGATTCAGATGAACTCTAGAAACTAGAACGCATCGTATTGAAATCTGGGTTATACGGAGAAATGAGATGGTTGGGATTCCTGGGCAGACACCAAATCTTTGATGAATGAATTGGAGAGGTTGAAAACTCACCAGGGCTCGAACCAGATTCATCTGGGTATGAAGAAATGGACTTTCTTTGATTGATCCCATGGATAAATCTTCTCTTTCTTGAGCGAAAACCAGACGAAGAAGAAAAAGTTTAGGGTTCTTGAAGAAGAAAAGAGAAGTGAGGAGCATTGTAATGTGAATAAATAACAGTGGCAAGGCGATACAGTAAATGCAATTAGGAATGTTTAAATTGATTAAATATAATGTGTAAATTATGAATAGAAAAGGGGAAAAAAATTAACCTTTGATTATGGAGAAATAAAAAAAAGGCAACACCGAAAAGTCCAAAGAGTTTTGTTCAATACTATCTGTCACCCTTTTATGTTTGAAATGTATAAAAGATTATGCCAGTAATTTTACCATTCTTTTTCATCTTACAACATTTATTTTGAAAATGTTCGAATCTTCTTTTATATAACTATCAACCAATTAACAGAGTTAAACAAACTATACTGCGGATGTCAAACCAACTAACTCGGACCAGATCGGACCAATTCGTTCCGAACCAACTTATTTTTAGTCCAATCTTTAAATTCGTTCTTATTTAGATCGATAAATTCAAGACTCAGACCACATCGTTCGAGTTTGCGAACCAGTGAGCCAGCTTGTATGTTCGCCGAACTGACTCTTCATGAGTCGAACTCGTGGCAAATTAGCTTGTTCGACTCATTTTTTTTCGGGTTCAAAATTTCTCAATCCAAATAAAAAAAAATATGGATCGACCAGCAAACTAACTCATGAACCATTTTGACATCCTAAATTACACATGCATTTTGTGTATCAAACAAAATATTATATATATATATATGTTACAATAATATGGCTGAGTAGACATAATTTGACTTTGAGATGTGAAAGGCTGTCTTTTAATTTATATTGTGAAGTTGAGGGAAAAAGGTGAGCTGAAACTTCCTATATTTACTCCGAAATTTCCAAGACAATTTCGCTTTACTTTTGTTTTTTAGTTTATTAACGTTTTGTCGATTTCAATGCGATCCATCATACTCATTGTTTTCTATGTTTCAAAATATTTGTCATTCTACATTTTCAAGACATTTTTTACAATAGTTTACCATTTTATCCTTATTAAATTTTAATAAATTATTAATGATAACATTATTTTTATCATTAAATAAAGGTATATATGACTTTTTCTCTATTTTCTTAAAAAAATATGAAATAACCTAAAATAACAATTATTTTGAAACGTAAGGAGTATCATATATTCCTTTTTTTATGTAAGAAATAAAATATTTTATCGTGCAAGAAAAAGAACGTAACAAAATTGAAAACGTATTACATGTTCATGATTTTAATTCTTTATAATTATTTCAAACCATCTCTTCTCAAACATCCCCCTAAGCTGAATGAATTTTTAGAGTTTTTGGAATCCAAAAACAAAAAAAAAATAAAAATAAAAAATTTTGATTTTTTAAAAAATACAAAAAAAACTATTTCAGTAAAAAAAAATCAACTAAAAACTAAAAACTACATTTTTTGAATTTACAAATATTACAAAAGTCAAAAGCCAAAAACCAAAAATCAAAAACTAAAATCAAATACTCAAAATAAAAATCAAAAACCAAAAACTAAAACTAAATACTCAGAATAAAAACGATCACCATTCAAAATTCAAAAACTAAATCTAAAAGGAACGTGGATTCATATATACCTAAGAGACCACCTTATAAATGGGCTGATTCTGTAAAGGAAGTCCTTATTGGGCTTCCCACGTAAAAACCCACCGTGTCAGGCTTATGTCGGTGCATCAAACTGTGTGCCGTTTTTTTGTTAGATAAACGTCATGAACATGCTGGTATAAGAAAACAGAAGAAACCAGAGGAGCTTGCCATCGCTACACAAGAAGGTTTCATTGCACAACACAGCAAGAAAAAGTAACCACACTACAGCAAAAAGCATGCAAGAAACATGAAAATAATCATACGTATATATATATATAGAGAGAGAGATAGATATTTATATATAACATTCCAAATCTTGTTCTAGATTTCTCACCGTCCATCGAAGGAGGCGAAGGAATCGGCAAAACCAGAAGGCCTGGTAGGGATACTGGTCTGAGAATTGTCGTTGCTTCCGTAAACAGAAGAAGAAGAGGCCGAGTCCTCCGCATTGGTGATTCCTTCAAAGGCCTGCCACTTCTTCACCACCTGAGTCAACGGCATGTCGTAGTCTATGCCGTACATGTCATCTGGGTCAGGTTCCGAGGGCTTCCACTGTTCCACGAGCGAGGACAGGACGTTCACCACGTGGCCCATGTCTGGACGCTGGTATGGCTCCCGGGCACAGCAGTGACCAGCCAGCTCAGAGACCTTGCCGACGCTGGAGAGGGTGTCCTGGTCGAGGTCGATGGCCGGGTCAACCGCCTTATTGAACGAGTCTTGGTCTTTGCCGTTGTGAATCCGTCTGAACCACGTGACCAGATGCATGCTGTCTTCTGGCTGCGTCTCGTCCAGGGCTTTTCTCCCGGTTATCAGCTCCATCAGTATCACCCCGAAGCTAAATATGTCTACTTTCGTCGTTACTCTTCCTGTCACTGCCAAATTAACAGATAAAATTTTCGCTGCCAAACTACACAAAAAGCTTTTACCTTCAGGCAGTAGACTACATTCATCAAGAAGAGCATATAAACAAACCTGCGTATTCCGGGGCGAGATATCCGAAAGTCCCAGCGAGTCGGGTCTCGATTGAATGTTTCCCGTCAGGGGCAAGACGGACTAACCCAAAGTCAGAAACTTTGGCACGCATATCGTCCCCGAGAAGAATGTTTGAAGGCTTGAGATCCCTATGTATGAAGCTCTGGTGAGCGAGAGTGTGCAAATACTCAACCCCACGAGCCACGTCCAGGGCAATCGATAATCTTCTCGTCCATTCGAGCGGTTTCAGCCCTTCTTCCTCCCAATGGAACAAATGCTGGCTGAGAGTCCCCTGAGGCATGTACTCATAGACGAGAAGCCTCTCATTCCCGTCGAGACAGTAGCCGAGCAGCGCAACCAGGTGACGGTGACGCACTTTGGTCAGGACAGCGATCTCAGACTTGAACTCAGCCAGACCCTTGTCACTCACAACCGATGACTCCATCCTTTTCACGGCTATCTTTGTTCCGTCATGAAGTTCGCCTCTGTATACCGTCCCAAACCCACCTTTTCCGAGAATGTTCTCCTCGCTGAAGTTGTTCGTCACATTCCTCAGGACATGGATGGATATAACCATGTTACCGGCCTCCGCAATGTGGATATCACTCGGCCCACTACTCGTATGACTGTAACAGCTCTCACTCCCGCCACCGTTAAGACTGGAAGCTGCAATTGTGAGCTTAACGGCAGCTTGGTCACCTGAGTGATGGGGATGAATCACCACATTGGCTGGGCTCTGAACTCTGGCGGGCCGTTTCCATTTCGTGGCATAGAGGCATACCCCCAATCCGACCAGACAGAACGCACCAATGACTCCGACTACAGAACCAATGATCTTGACAGTGGTGGACTCCCCAGAAGAAGAACCATTGCCACGGTTTCCAGAGCCTTTGTCATCGGGCGAAGCTCCAGAACTGCCAGACGGGCTCTTCCCGATTTTGCTGTTCCCTTCAATCCGCAAAGCCACATTTTGCCTAAACTTCGGTAATGCACCATCAAGATTGTTGTTTGATACATCGAGCGTTCTAAGCTTAGGCAATGTAGTGAGTTCAGCCGGTATAGAACCCGTGAGTGCGTTATTAGCGAGAATGATGGTTTCTAGAGACACAAGCTTGGCAAAATTCGGGCTTATTGTTCCTGAGAGACCCCCTCTCCCGAAATTGATTACCGTTATGTTACTTCCCGAACAAGTAACCCCCGACCAGCCACTGCACGGATCATTCCCTTTCCAATTCGATGCAAATCTCGCTGGATAGCCAAATGCCTCAACTATAGACAGCAAAATATCGACTCGGGGATCACAAGCAACAGTAGAATCATCCGAACAGAAACTATTGGTCCTGGGGGCCATATCAACTTGAACTCCATTGGAAAACCTCGGGGCTCGTCCTTGGAACATATTATTGGTTAAATTCACAACACTAAGAGAAGGCAAATTGACGAGGCTCTGCGGGACAATACCGGTGAGTTCATTGTCTCTTACGCTGAAGATACTTAGAACTTGCAGACCGGAGAGATCTGGAATCGGACCGGAGAAACTGTTTCCGTGCAACCAAACCTCAGTTAACGACGTCATGTTCTGCAAAACTGAGATCGAGCCGTTTAGCTTCCCCGTGCTTTGTTGCCCATTCAGCCAGAGAGACTGGAACGAAGAGGTTGCAAAACTCGCCGGCAATTCGCCCTCGAGATAATTGAAAGATAAATGGAGTCTCGCCAAGCTAATGTGCGTTTGGCCGCCTAGGAAATCTGGAATTTTCCCGGAAATGCTGCAATTGATAAGGGAAAGCTCTTGCAGGGACGGCGCATCCTTGATACTGTCGGGAATTACCGACGAAGATAACGGGTTGTTGTCGAGATACACGCCCTGAAGCGAAGTCATACCTGTGAAGAGATCCTTAGGGACCGAAGTGAACTGGTTGTTGTGAAGATTCAGCCTCTGCAACTGCGACAGACCCGAAAGATCCGGAATCGGACCCGACAACTGATTTTGGAAGAGCTCAAGCACAGTAAGGGCAGTGAGATTCTTAAGATCGGGAGGAAGAGTCCCACGAATCCCTTTGCTCTTGAGCTGAATTCGCGTGACCCGACTGCTGTCATCGCATTGAACAGAGGTCCATCTGCACGGGTTCGGGTCGGACCAATCGACATCGGAGGTGAGCTTCAGACTCGATTTGAGAGCTTGCATGGAGGAAGCATCGGGGCTAGACTGCGAAACGGCGAAATCAGCGAAATCCACTACAAAGACGAACAAACAGAGAATACCCAGATGGGGTTTCTTCATTTTCCCTGGAAAACTCTCGGGAAATCAGCGAGAAAGTAAAGGAAACCCGGTCAAGCAGTCGTCGCTCCACTGAAATTTCACTAGGGTTTTACGGGGGCATTGATGAAAAAGCTTCAAGAGACCAGATTTTTCAACGAGAGATTTAAGAAAGTGAAGAAAATTGGGAGATCGAGGCGGCGGATATCGAGGAAACAAATAGGGAATGTGGAGAGAAAGGTAGGGATATTTATTATGCTTTCTCCCCTTCTTTTTTTTTTGGAAGACGAATGAACCAGAATGAATGAAATGAATAGAGAGTGAGACGGGAAGGACAAGATGAGGGTATAAGTGTCATTTCGCCCGCGTGTGCTGTCTGATTTTTGTCTTTTTTTGTTCCATTTCTAGGAAGTACAGTTGGCACATGCAAGAAGTGGAGCCCACAGAAAAATTAAAAAAAAAAGGGGAAATCATAATCCGTAATGTGTATGTATGTATATGGTATCTGATTTAATTGTGCAATGATGGGCTCCTAGATCTCTATATAAATGTATTTTCAGCTTTGTTACTGTGCTAATAACTTGGATTTTCCTTCTCATTGTTTTATATAATTGTTATGGACCCATTTTCCTTTTTTTTTGTGTAAAATAATTGCTTGCGAGAGCCAATAAAACAATTTCTTGTATTAAATACACTTTTTCCTACAATCGAAGATGGTAAATGCTAATATCCGTGAGAACATTTCTCTCTTTTTTTTTTCCGTAAATATTTTTAATATAAAAAGCCATTCCGTGACTCTGACGGTGGTATGTTTGTTCATTGGTTGGATCAAATGAATAAATGACATCATACGGTCGAAACAAATGTAAATAAATAAATCAGCACGAATAGAATATAAGGATGACGCTTGAAGATTCATAATTATGTTTGTTTTATACGTTGATGATTTGTCCGTTCCATGTTCTTATTTATCGGTTCTTGTATTGCTGCAGTGAGGTGAGGTGGTGCAAAACAATATTATACAAGTACGGCAATTACAATAATATAGAGAGGTGTTTATCAAAATAATAATAATAATATAGAGAGGTGCAAAACAATATTTTTTTTAATGATTACTTATATTTGGGCTTTGACAGTTTTATAATTTGGGCTTTAAATATATTTTATTAATTTGGGCTTTTAAGATAGTTTTATTATTTGGGCTTTAAGTCTATTTTATAATTTGGGCTTTAGGTGGATCAGACAACTGGGGTTTTTTCAGACGCATAATTGAATATTTGGAGACATTAACATCCATTTATCGCCGTAGGTTATAAATGTCAGAAAAGGGCATGGATTTTTTTTTTTGTTACTATGGTAAACCCCTATCCTATAACCCTTCGGGTCGGACACCGGACACCGCAACGTCTCTCAGTCCGTGGGCCGGACGAGAACGGCATCTGAACAGTATCGCGGACCTGAGAAAACCCACCGCCCCGTGCAATACCCAGCAAACCACACGGGGCAGGTAAAGCAGCCTTGTAAAGCTGGCCGGCTAAGGGGAGTAACATACCTTGGGTTTCGAACCCACAACCTCTCGTTGTGGGTTGTCATTAACCACTGGGCTGGGGGACTCCCCCAAAGGGCATGGATTTTCTCAGCGTCCGATCTCGTCATCTTGATGGGATTTCTTCTAAATCCACCAGACCAGGAAACGAGTTCACCCTCAGCTATCTCCGCGAAAACAGTGAGCTTTCCGGGAAAGTCTGGGTCAAAAGGGAAAACAGGTCGCGGTGTCTGAGAATTCGAGCTGCGACGACAGATGGGTGGAGGGAGATATCTTGAATTTGGGCGAAAATGGATCCGAGTACTTCGAAATGGAAGGTTCAAGAGGAAGAAGAAGCAGCGGACGAGAAGAAGAAAGAGTAAGATCGAGACCCGGTGTGTCTGAATTTTGATTCGGCTAGTATAATACGTGTAGTTGGGTTGGTTGTGATGTCTGTTCGCATCGGTGTCATGCTGTAACAACTGGGAAGAAACAGAGAATGGGAAGAAACAGAGAATAATATGAATGACAGAGACAATAATTTCTGAAATTTCTTCATTAATCAATTCCTCCAATGTACACTCGTATATATACAGCAACCCAAAACAGAAATAACAAGCTACTAACAAATTTAGCAAACACAAAAACTGTGTCTATCCTAGTCAGCAAATGTAAATAATTAATCATATTTACAAATATGTATGGATGAAATCAGAATCTCGATCCGTTATGGAATGATCAAAACCTCTTTATGAAACAGAGTGTTCCATTATCATAACAGAGCAATGCTGCAAATGATGATGATTCCTCGCTGAAACTCCCCCTCAAGATGGGGAATGAAGGTTTGAAGTCTCCATCTTGCTCAATAAAAGACGAAACTGCTCACCTGCCAAGGGTTTGGTTAGAGCATCTGCAATTTGGCTATGAGAATTGACATGCATCGGCTTCAAGAATCCCGATTTGATGTGTTCGCGAACAAAATGGCAGTCAATTTCAATATGTTTTGTTCGCTCATGATAAACCGGATTGTTGGCAATGTGAATACTGGAGTTACTGTCACAGAACAAAGTAACAGGTTCTGGGAAAAATAGTTTCAATTCGCGAAGCAAACCAGAAATCCAAATAAGCTCAGAAGTTGCTCGTGCCATTGCCCTGTACTCAGACTCGGCACTACTCCGCGAAACCGTCTTCTGTTTCTTAGACTTCCAAGTAATCAATGAATCACCGAGAAACATGCAAAAACCTGTAATTGAACGTCGAGTGTCAGCACAAGATGCCCAGTCAGCATCTGTATACCAACTCAATCGGATAGAAGAATCTGATCGATACAAAAGACCCTGAGCCGGAGCTGTTTTGATATATCTTAATAATCAAAAAGCAGCCTGGAGATGAACCGTCCTAGGGTCAGACATAAACTGGCTGAGTTGTTGAACCGTAAAGGAGATGTCGGGACGAGTTACCGACAAATATATCAGCTTTCCAATCAATTTTCTGTACATTGTCGGATTATCTATAGGTTCTCCAGAATCAGACTTCAGTTTTGCTTTAGTGTCCATTGGAGATGCACTTGGCTTGCAAGCTAACATGCCAAAGTCCTCAAGCAACTCCAATGCATATTTTCGTTGACATATGTGAATACCCTTGCTAGATCTGGCAATTTCCAATCCAAGGAAGAAACGAAGAGGACCCAGATTTTTCAGAAGGAACTGTGAGCAAAGGAACCTCTTAATATCATCAATCATGATTTCATCATTTCCAGCAATCAGGAGATCATCTACATAAACGAGAACGACCACGAAACCTGTCCCATGGTGTCGAAAGAATAAGGAGTTATCAGACTGTGACTGAGAAAATCCTCCCGTGATCAAGGTTTGAGAAAGCTTAATGTTCCACTGTCTAGAAGCCTGTTTCAGACCGTAAATCGATTTCTTTAGTCGACAAACAGAATTTTCTGTCACTTTCTCCCCCTTGAGCTCAGAATATCCTGGTGGCAGCTTCATATAAAGCTCTTCAGATAGATCTCCGTTTAAAAAGGCATTAGATACGTCCATTTGGTGCAAAGACCAGTTAGAACTAGCTGTCAGTGCGAGAATGATTCTTACAGTGGACATTTTTGCAACATGACTAAAAGTATCAAGGTAGTCGATTCCTTCCTGCTGTGAGCAACCTTTGGCAACCGATCCCACCTTATACTTATCAATGCTCCCATCCGAATTAAACTTGACTTTATACACCCATTTGCAGCTAATGGGTTGTTTATCAGCTGGGAGAGAAACAATGTCCCAGGTTTGTGTCTGTGTCAGTGCATTCAACTCAAGTTGCATAGCAGATCGCTACACACCTAATGTTGAGGCCTGTTTTAGGTCCTGGGCTCGGTAGTGGAAAGAATGGAGAGGGAAAAATGTTTCAGAGGTGGAGATAATTTGTTGTCGGATAAAAAAGAGGAGAGGGGGTAGCAAATAGAAGATACATGTGGGGGTGGAGTGTTGTGAGTTAAGTAGTAACAATGAAAATCAACAAGATAGCTGAGGGCCTTACTCAATCGCTGTGACTTACGGATATTTCCAGATTCTGGAACAAAAGGAACAGACAAAGAAGGAGACACAACCACATCATCTGTTTGTTCTATAGGAGAAACAGGAACAAAGGATGGAGAAGAAGTGGGGAAAGATGATGTATCTGAAGAAACAGACGGAATAGGAGAATCATAATGATACAACCAATAAGGTGTATCAGGAAAGAAGTTTAGAGATGACTTTGAAGAGGTGTACTGGAGAATGGGAAAATGGACTCTTGAAAGGTTATATTTCGGGAAACAGAGATAGCATTAGTATCAAGGTTTAAGATTTTATAATCCTTAATACCAGCTAGATAATCAATAAAGACATGAGGAGATGCTCTTGGTGAGAATTTGTGCCGAGAGTTTTCAATGGTAGAAGCATAACAGATGCATCCAAATGATCTGAGATGAGAGTAGGAGGGCTTGGTGTTTGTCAAGGCTTCAAAAGGAGACTTATTGTGCATAATAGGTGTAGGAATGTGATTGATCAGGTAAACCGCCGTCATTACACATTCTGTCCAATATGCTAAAGATAAGTGTGATTGAAATAAGAGAGCTCGAGCAACATTTAGTATGTGTTGGTGTTTTGCTCAACAACCGAGTTTTGTTGAGGAGTATATGGGCAAGAACGATAATGAATTAAGCCAAGTTGAGACACAAGAGACGGAAAGGAAAGCTCATTAGCATTATCAGATCGAAAGGATTTGACAGTTTTGCCATATTGAGTACAAACATGTTTGAGAAACTCAGGAAAACGAAGACGAGCGTCACTTTTATTCTTTAATAGATAGATCCAAGTAACTCGGGTACAATCATCTACTATAGTAAGAAAGTAACGAAAACCATCTACAGAGCAAACATGAAAAGGGCCCCATATGTCGATGTGAATCAGAGAAAAGGGTTCTGGAGTCAGTTTTCCAGAAACCGGGAAAGGAATCTTTCTCTGTTTTGCGAGTGGACAGATGGTGCAGTGACTAGGAAGCTCTGTAGATTGAGAAAACTGAAGCTGAGAAGAAGAACCAAGTGCTTGGACTCGAAGGTAGGAAGGATAACCAAGGCGTGTGTGCCAAAGATCAATAGAGGCCGAAGTAGAAAGGGCAGTGCAGAAAGCTGATGGGAGAGCAGAAGATGAAGAGGAAGAACCCAGCAGCTCGAGATAATAGAGATTGTTACGTTGTCTACCCTTCCCAATCATCAAGGC